TTATTTATTTAACTTAATGCACAGAAGTACCATGGCGGACTTAATGCCTGAGGCATTCTCTACCAGTCAACCAAGGGTGGTGTAAAGAATCCTGTGGTAGGTGCATTACCTAATGTAAAAATAACCAAACTACATTATACAATATACAAACACATACACGGTATATATATATATAATCACATAAACAACGTACACAATTTTATATCATATATTTATGCAGTTTTATTGGAACTAAGTCATGCGTCATCTGTCTTGCGTTGATAATACTATGCCAAAAACTATTCCATATGTTTTTACAGTGTGCTTAGTGTGAGGTTTTTAACTTTTCGATCGCGTCAAAGTTAACTCAAATTTTTTTATAGACTTAGAACAGCGCCCCTAGCAGCAAACGAAAGGAAGTGGTTCCAGCTCCATACAAATTTGAGTTAGCTTTTACGCGATCGAGAAGTTAAAAGCTCGCACTAAGCACACAGAAGCTCTTAACTCAATCACTTATATGATATGTAAAACATAAACAAACTTACAAATGTTCAAGTTATTTTATAAGCTTAACACAGAAGATCTCATAGATTCTCACGTGTCTTAAGTAATGAAATGTAAATAACATTGACATTATACCTCATCGATATAAATACACAGACGTTTTGCGAAATTTTGATTGTTTCGTTTAGAATCCGGAAAAACTGGTTTTCCTTTAATTCGAAGTTGTGGTAAAGGTGTGGGAGCCGAATTATTGAACGGTAAAAAAAATTTGATTCGTTTTCGGAAACATCCACAGACAACGTGGGTTTAAGTTTTTCACAAACTTGTTTATTCAATCAATACGAAGAGTATGACAGTAAATTGTTTTATTGTTATATTGTAGATATGTGTATGTTTTTGTGGATAGTTTCATAGTTCATAAAATATTAGAAAACATTTATTTACATTGCCATTTGAAGCTATGATTTAATTATATTGGTGGTAGGACCTCTTGTGAGTCCGCACGGGTAGGTACCACCACCTTGCCTATTTGCGCCGTGAAGCAGTAATGCGTGTCGGTTTGAAGGGTGAGGCAGCCGTTATAACTATACTGAGACCTTAGAAATTATATCTCAAGGTGGGTGGCGCATTTACGTTGTAGATGTCTATGGGCTCCAGTAACCACTTAAAACTACTGTGAGCTCGTCCACCCAACTAAGCAATAAAAAAAAAGTTATGAACATTTGGGAAAAATTACATATAATCAGTATAAGTTTTTCATCGTGTAAATAAAAAGAGCCACATATGTATATTATATCTTAAGAATTTGTCTCAGTGTGCTAAGCAACATTCGCGTTAATAGCTTTGGGCTCTGGTAACCACTTAATATCAAATGGAACATGAACTTGTGTATGAAAAAACCATAACGAATCAGTGTTTCTTTTGTCAATTATTCATATTAAGTGCTCGTAGGGTCAACCAAAACAACGTGTTTGCATTGTTAATTTACAAAAACAATATATGTATCATATTATAATCCTACTAGCTGTACCTGTCCGCTTCGCTGGTCATTTAAAATTAACATTATTATTTGTGGTCATTATTATTAAGGAGTCGAACACTCATATAAATATTAGCCTATCCATTAAGTACATGTATTTTCTACATGGATACCAAGTTTCAAGTCAATCGGATGCATGGTTCCGTAGTTATAACGGAACATCCGTAAAAACCACTGTAGATTAATATATTAGTAGAGATTACCCGAATGTGTCGCACCTATAACCAACTGGCAAAGTCGTCAAATGAGTTGGATATTTTTACTTGTAGGTTAGTAACGCTTACAAAAATATTCAAGGACGTCCTCCATGCTAATAATAGGTTAAGTAGTGTGTTTAATGTATATTGTGAATAAAATTATTTCCTTACATTATAAGTTAGATTAGTTTTCGTTATCGTGTTGTTTTGTCGTATAGATGTAAGGAACAATGTGAACAAATTCAGCACTTTGCCTTGCTTAGTCGTGCGCACATGGCTTATGTTGCAAGCCAGATTTTGTTTATTTTTACTTGTGTTTTTCAGGTATCTTTTTAGCTTGTGATGTGTAGTATTGTGTGCCTAATAAATAAATAGAAAATAAATATTATTTTACGCAATTTATTGAGCCTTTCTAGATTCACGAAAAATATAAGGGAGTGCAATATTGTAATCTAAGCCTTAGCGAGCTAATTTATAATGCGAGATTGCTTGAATTTGTCTAGGTTCTTAAAATTAAAGAAGATCAAAATTGTATAACAAAAAGTGTAGGATAATAACAATTATCATAAAAGATAGATTAAGAACAACAAAAAAGCGATAAATTCAACGTCCAACAGAGCAGAACGGCGCAGACCGGCTAATTTCCTATATAGTACGGTTATTGCTGCGTTTGAAGATATTATAGATTTTTTAACTAACTGTCTCAATTTATCTAATACTAGCTGACCCGGCAGACTTTGTAGTGCCTCAATCGATAAATAAAAGACCTAAACTTTTGGATAAAATAAACTTAAAACAAACAAAAGAAATCCGTCCGACGGGGAACACATCAAATGAAAAACAAAATTGTTATTTTTATTTAATTCCGAGCATTTTCATATTTATCTACCTTTTAAACCTTCTCTGGACTTCCATGAATAATTCAAGACCAAAATTAGCCAAATCGGTCCAACCGTTCTCGAGTTTTAGCGAGAATAACGAACAGAAATTCATTTTTATATATATAGATTTTTACTCTCAAGTTGCTTGTAGATAGCTAGTTGGTTTTAAGATTTCTTGTCTATTCGGTCACACATTATACCACCGATAAGAGTAATATGAATTCTCAACTAAAGTATTTTGTGTTGGCAAGATTAATGACCACCATTAGAAATTTATCTGTGAATTTGAGTATTATTTTTGTTGCTAATGTATAACGCAGCGCACCGAATTTGCGGTTCATGTGGTGTAAAGCGATTTTTTTTATTGCTTAGATGGGTGGACGAGCTCACAACCCACCTGGTGTTAAGTGGTTACTGGAGCCCGTAGACATCCACAACGTAAATGCGCCACCCACCTTGAGATATAAGTTCTAAGGTCTCAAGTATAGTTACAACGGCTGCCCCACCCTTCAAACCGAAATGCATTACTGCTTCACGCCAGAAATAGGCAGGGTGGTGGTACCTACCCACGCGGACCCACAAGAGGTCCTACCACTAGTAATTACGCAAATTATAATTTTGCGGGTTTGATTTTTACTACACGATGTTATTCCTTCACGGTGGAAGTCAATCGTGAACATTTGTTGAGTACGTGTTTCATTAGAAAAATTGGTACCCGCCTGGGATTCGAACGCCGGTGCATCGTTCAACACGAATGCACCGGACGTCTTATCCTTTAGGCCACGACAACTTCACTTACCGGCGTCCATTACATTTATAAACATGTAAAACTATTAAATAGAAAAATTCGTTTGCCGATCAAAGCTTCGAATCATGTTACAGCTATATCGGCTTATGTAGTTTAGGCTTCGACTTATTCCGCTCTGTAAAGATCAACTTTAGAAGCCGACGTACACAAAAACTAAACGGCGTAAAAGCTCAAAACGTGTCCGCCCTAATACGTTGGACACGATCTCCCCGCGTGAGTAACTTATGAGTTCTATTCATATTCATAATGTGTGATGATTTAGTAGAAAAAGTTTCTTTGTTAATTTAAATAAGATTTTTTTTTCGGCGACAACGTAACTCGTTTTTTTCATTCTGTTAGATGCGCTCCGTTCACGTGCAAATATGAATTGTGATGACTATCAAATAGATGAGGAAATCATAAATTAAGCCACAGAAATAAATCAATTGATATGATTTCTGTGGATTAAACAGTGTGTGTGTGTGTGTGTGTGTGTGTGTGTGTGTGTGTGTGTGTGTGTGTGTGTGTGTGTGTGTGTGTGTGTGTGTGCGTGCGTGTGCGTGTGCGTGTGCGTGTGCGTGTGCGTGTGGGTGTGTGTGTGTGTGTGTGTGTGTGTGTATATATATCACCCCTGCCCGGTCTGGCATGGAGGTAATGGATGTAAGGTTCGCCCCGTGTCCCGTCCCGTATATATGTGTATATATATACTTATATACAGGGATCGTCGTGCATCCTGACGGTACACGGGAAGGGGCTCGGGGCGAACGCCTCTACTCTGGCATTACCTCCATGCCACACCGGGCAGGGGTGAAATTAAGCGGGTTGAGATGGGGGGATTAAACACTTTTAAATAAAAATCTCTATCTTTCAGCCCACAGACGTCCACTGCTGGACATAAGGCTCGCCCAAGCCTCGCCACAACTACCAAACGCTGCTTGCATCCAGCGACTGCATGCAGAAAGTATGTACATATATCTTAAATTAAGTATAGGTACTAATTATATATTTTGTTTTTAATTTCCAATAATTTCTTCTCTAGATGACGCAAAGAGATTGTTTGACCAGTTTTAAGCTGTGCACATTTATTTTTAGTGATTTTTGTAAATAATTCTTTCAAATAATTCTTTCATTTCGTTTATGACATATTAATCAATCAAAAGTTGGAAGCACCTCACGTTTTTTTTACAATAAAATCATTTGTTCTTACACTATTTTTAATTGAAATTTATTAAAATTTATTTTCTATTATTTAGTTGGATTTTCTATAAAAGCATATTTTGTTAGTTTTTTTAACTATTATTTATTTTTCATTTTTTAGTTGAATTTCAATTTTTAATTTTTTATAATATTGAATTGTTATCGATCCTTAATAAGTATACCAAATTTCGAGCCAATCCGACGTTTTGAAGGGGGTCAAAATCATGTTCAAAGATTCCATGACATACTAACATACATACATCTGAAGCTAATAAAAGCGTATCAAAATTGGTACCCGCCCGCGGGATTCGAACACCGATGCATCGCTAGATACGAATGCACCGGACGTCTTATCCTTTAGGCTACGACGGCTTCATACCGAGTTTACAGTATACAGCATATACAAAATAACTTACTGAGTTCGGTATCGCAGTCCGCGTATTCGTGGTTGCAGTCGACCGTGTAGGCGGTTGTGACGGCGGCCGCGACGGCGAGCAACGCCGCGACGCGCCAAAGCGCCGCACCGCGCCCGCCCATTGCCTTCGCCCACATTACCTGCTACACATCTGCAATAAACGAAAATAACTTTAGTGGGCTGCAAAATAGATTTCAATCCACAATTTTTACTAGAACTCTTGTGAGTCCGCACCGATAGGTACCACCACCCTGCCTATTTTTGCCATGAAGCAGTATTGCGTTTCGGTTTGAAGGGCGGGACAGCCGTTGTAACTATACTCAGACCTTAGAACTTAAATCTGAAGGTGGGTGGCGCATTTACGTTGTAAATGTCTATGGGCTTCGGTAACCACTTAACACCAGGTGGGCTGTGAGCTCGTTCAACCATGTAAGCAATAAAAATAAATAAAAAAAAAACATTAAAATCTACGTAGCTTGATTCATTATAAATCCAGTCTTGGATACAGGCGGGAAGTTTTAATACGTTAACAGGGTAACACTCAACACTGTTCTGCTTATTTCTGCGGGTGTTTCATTGCGGCGTGCAAGTTATAAGGTATCAATTTCGTTAAAAATCAATATGATAAAGTTTGAATCGTCTTAACCCCCTTACTGTTAATGTTATTGATTGACTCTAAACAAAAACAGCTTATTAGAGCTCAATAACACAATATAATAACATCGACATTGAAGTCGATAGGGTTACCTCTAAAACAATTGAAATTTCCAGTGAATACTTCCATTGTTCAAAACAGTCAAAGCCAAAAATTCAATTCTCTCGTTATTGTGATCAAAATTTTATGTTTCGTTATTATTTTCCATAATGTATAAAAAATATACTAATATTTTACAGTTTTTATTAATTAATTATTTGCTTAAATTAATGGTGATTTTTTTGAAGAAACTTTCTCTAAATCAATGGATTAAATAAAATAAAAAAATGGCGCGCAATCGATGAAAACGTTATATTTAATTCGACATCCAATCCATTTTTAAATTTTAAAAATAGAAAAAATAAATAACGCCACATCTATTTTATTCTTGTCTTATTCAAAATAAGCTCTCGACCCAATGAGACTCGTGCGACAAATGATTTAATATTATTATTGTTATAATTTTTTGTTCATTCAGCCTTATACGAAAGCGACAGTACTGATTTTAATACAATGAGCTCAGTTGCAAATATTATGCGGGTTTGGTTACGTTGCCTTAATATCGAAAGTATGTGAGTCATGAAAGACTCCCGGACTTCTTTCTAAGCTGTTACAACATCGAGCAATACCGTTGCACAAGAATTTATTGACACCGTCTTATCTTGTAGGCTGTTTAGTGAGGATTTAATAATATGTATGTGAGTCCATCTACAGGGTGTAGTAAACTGCTCTGGCAATTGAAAAGGCAACTGTATTATCTTGTAGGCTGCTTAGTGAGGATATATGTGAATCCATCTACAGGCTGTTGTAATCTGCTCTGGCAACTTTTTTTTTATTGCTTAGATGTGTGGACGAGCTCACAGCCCACCTGGTGTTAAGTGGTTACTGGAGCCCATAGACATCTACAACGTAAATGCGCCACACACCTTGAGATATAGTTCTAAGGTCTCAGTATAGTCACAACGGCTGCCCCACCCTTCAAACCGAAACGCATTACTGTTTCACGGCAGAAATTGGTAGGGTGATGGTACCTACCCGTGCCGAATCAAAAGACGTCCTACCACCAATAATTACCCAATTTATAATTTTGCGGGTTTGATTTTTACTACACGATGTTATTCGTTCACCGTGGATGTCAATCGTGAGCAATTGTTAAGTAAGTATTTCATTACAAAAATTGGTACCCACCAGCGGGATTCGAACATTGTTACATCGGCTACATACGAATGCACCGGACGTGTTATCCTTTAGGCCACGACGACTTCAAAATTTACTTTCTATTATTCTTGAATATTAGACTTCTATATTAGAATGTCTTTCCTTTTTTTGCTTTCAAATTAAGTTTAAGAAATACTTCAACTGTTTCCAAGAAATCAGGGCTCGTCTACCATAGTTCGTGATTTAGCGTTGGCCAGATCCTACTTTCGGCCAGCACTTCGCCTTCCATTGTAAGAAACACAGAACAATGTAACACGTATTAACTGAACCGCGGAACCGAAGTAATTATCATGACAATACAACAATATGTACGCAAGAGAATACACATTTTGCCCATACGAGTAGGTACTTAACAACAATCATTAACACACAATGCTTGGGATTAAACAATGAATGACCACAAAATTAATTCATAAATAAAATATGCTACGCGTAGATTAATTACCCAATGAAAGTTAATTTAATACAATTTGTTCCAAAAATGTATTGATTTAACAGAATTATTAATGCAGAACTTTTTAAATATTTTTAACGGCCGTCTAGTGTAGTGGTAAGTGACATGGTCACTACACAAGGGGGTCGCGGGTTCGAATCCCGCCAAGGGAAGATATTTGTATGATAAATATAAATGTATTTTCCAGGGTTATGGATGTATATTAAATATATGTATGTGTATAATAAAAATCTTACATTTATATCCGTTATCTAGTACCTGTAACACAAGCTCTTTACGAACTTATCACGGGACCAGTTAACGTGGCGTGATTGTTGGTAAATATTTATTTATTATTATATAAAAAAAAATTATTTCAAACTCTTTCTGAATTGGTAATTTCCGTCACAGATAACTGTTGGTAGCAGATGGTCTTTCATTTGCCTACAAACTACACCTATTTAACTTTTCGATAGTTAGAATACACAAGCGTGTCCATTCTTAAGGAATAAACATAATCTGCATATTTGTTTTGAAAAACTCATCCGCTGCTTGTACAGCTTTGTTGTATATTTTGATTAGTCGTCCTATGAGCTCATATCTAACTGTTTTGTATATTAAAATTTACTGCCTCTGTTTTACAAATAATCTAAAAATATATTTAGCATCTAAATGAAACATGGTAAACTAATTACCGAGCCAAATCGAGTTGAATAAAAATCTACAGCGAAGTCAAAATTTGAAAGATTGTGAATAAACATTTTAATGACTGTTCGAGAATGCTCCCAAACACTTGTACAATCATTCTTTCAGTTCTGGCTTAAAATGAGCTCCCGTCCACGGTATTTTCCGAGCGCTATGACATGTCCTTCTTCAAACGAGGCTCGTGGAAAGTACTTAACGGTACGCAGCGGCTTGGCTCTATCCCTCGCATTTCTGACATCCATGGGCCACGATATCCACGCACCATCGGGCGGGCCTTGTTGTGGCCGCTGGGAATTACATACCCGATCCTGTAGACCGAATGGTAAATAGTCGAATTCGTCCAAAACACGTCATTACGGATCCTCCCGATCCATTAACGGTGCTTTTAAGTACCCCAAGTACCGTCTTCGTCGAAGGGCTCGACGAGCGAATTAACCCACAGACACAGCCCACTGAGTTTCTCGCCGGATCTTCTCAGTGGGTCGCGTTTCCAATCCACTGGTACATTCTGCGAAGCACTGATCTTGCTAGGGCCAGTGTTAGCAACACTCTGGTTTGAGCCCCGTGAGGTAAATGCTCGTCTGCCTACAAGGGCAATAATAAAGATAAATTAATAGTAGTGTACGCCTCGTAACTTTGAGATCCAATGCCGGTGATCAAATGTATTTTGTGAAAATTATCTACGAGTACATGTTTTACACCAAAATATATAAGGTAGTTTGCTGTTCGCGATGTAAATTTTATGATTGTAGGCAGTTTTATGTATTTATGATTGAGTTTTGTTAGGACTTTTTGACGGGAACGCGAGGAGTGAAGTTGTGCGATTTGTTTTATTTTGTCTATTTAGTGTTTCTTCAGGTTTAAATGTGTAATAACGGTGGTTTATTAACTGTTTAGTATCTATGCACAAATGTGGGAAAATGAAACAAAGCCGCTGGACATAACTTCTCGGGATCCTCCTAAAAGTGTACTGAAAAAATTTCATCCCACATCATATCATCTCATCTCATTTCAATTCGTTTTCATTTAATTTCATTTCATACAAAAAAGTTTTCATTAAAATTAAAATAAGACTTAAACTTAATAAAAATCTTAGATATAAGGTCTAAATTCCCTAAAAAAAAAAAATTAGTTTTGTTATGATTAATCAAGTTTCGATGAGAAAGTCGTCCCTTACGACAATGATCAATGAATGAATTGCTTTGTATTTTATGATTTCAGCAGATATGACTTTTTGTATTATAGTTTCTGCACGACTAAAATAATTTTTCTTCTAATACAACTAAAGCTTTTATTATTGATTATTTCGTTCTTTAATTAAAGACAATAATTTCAAATTGAGAACAATTGCGTTCCAAATTATCTCGAACATTCTTTTGAGCGCGGTTCGGATGTGCCGCATTCTCAACATAGCCGACGTTCTAGCTCAGTAAAAGCGCTACCATTTACTCAGCTGACTCCACAAACCCAGTTCACAGCTTGCCGGCGTGAAATCGACTCCGAAGCCGATTTCTTCACATCTCGACGACGCGACGCTCCTAACTGTGTCATTGTGCGCGATTGATTAATGAACAGTGCCTTTGTGGGAATATGAACTTTATCTTCATGGTTTTGGGTATGTTGTTGCGGCTAATTAGTCGTTAGAGTTCGCTCAAGTTTATTCGTGTGAGCGCTGCATTCTTAACATATTTATACATACTAATCTTCTGAGCTAAGACTTTGGAAAGCTCACAGTGCCTCTAAAAATGTAATAGTGAATGAAATGAAGTACAATATTGACACAAGAACGCTGGTTGGTGCGTTAAAATAAGGAGCATCAAATCGACGGGTGAAAAGTTATTTGGTTTAAGTGACAATTCGCTTAATACGCGACTTTTTTTACCCGTATAGGCAGACGAGCATACGGCCCGCCTGAGGTGAGTGGTTACCGTCGCTCATGGACGTCAGCAATGCCAAAAGCAGAGCCAAGCCGCTGTCTACCGTTATCTTTGTACATTTCTTCTACATCTTAGTAACTAAAAGTTCGTTTTATTTGGTATCAGCATCAACAATTCGATGTTCTTAATTGAACTTCTATTAAGTTTACTCCATTCAAATACCT